CCAGCTGTGGAGTGGGTGGGTCTACCTGGCCACTGAGATCTTAGTGGTGATGCGGGGGTAGCGGGGCACCGCCTCCCTCCCGACTGCTGGTCAGGTGCGGCTGTGTGTGTGTGTGTGTGTGTGTGTGTGTGTGTACGCGCTCCTCCCCGACCCCACAAAGGGAAGTAGGGGTAAATGATGAAGCCCAGTGCAGTGTGGTCTTGGGGCACCCACCACCTAGCTTAGTGCCCTCTGTCTGTCCCAGGGCTGTTCACCTGGAAAACGGCCCCTATCAGGTGTCGAGTATCTCCCCCGGAGGTGGAATCCTTCTTTACCTGAAATCCACGTGTCCTAGACGGACACCTGCAGGCCAAGTGGAGCAAGCAGGGCTAGGGAAGCCTGTGCCAGGCGGGCAGGTGGCACATGTCCATTCCTGTCCCGTCCTCTTCCCCAGGCCCCCGAGGCGCTTCCCGAGCTGACTGACGGCCTTGAGCCTGTGCCACTGAATTCAGGGCAGCGTGGCTCTCCCCGAACTGTGGGTGCATCAGCGTAAGTCCTGGCCTGGGGACTGAGCAGGATGGAGCTACACACACACACACACACACACACACACACACACACACACACAGCACCCACACACACACACACACACACACACACACACACACACACACACAGGTATCCTCCTGATGAGAGGGAGGGTGCCCACGGGATTTTGGGAAAGGTCCTCAAAAGGTCAGCCACTGGGCAGGTGCTGTGGCCCCAACTGGCTACCAGAGGGGGCAGGGAAAGGCAGGGGGTGGGATGCCAGACAGCAAGACACAGGGTCACAGGAATAGCAGACCCAGGACCCTCCCCCATCCCCGGACTCACCTAGTCCTGCAGGACAGCGGGGACCCGAGGCATGCTAATAGTTGGAGAGTCGCTGGAAGGAGCCCATCCCCCTCAGGCAAGTCAAGGCACCCCCAGGCCCAGTTCCAGTGGCCCAGATGGCCCGTCACCTTGCCTCCTCATAAACGCCCCCCCCCCCTCACACACACACACACACACACACACACACACACACACACACACACTTCTAAGTACTTTGTTAGAGAGCTCCATCCAGCAAGGCTCATTGAACTGGATGAGGGGATTTGGGGACACAGGACCCCGCCCTGCCTTGTCCACTGAGGGGAGATTAGTGGAAGTGAGCTTCGGGCAGCCCCAATGCTAGAACGAGGCTTTGCAAGGGTCCTTGCTGGCTGGGGAGGGAAGGTGGTGAACAGGTGTGTGGAAAGTGTGGCCGGGCAGGTCCCCAGATGGGAGTGGCCGGTTTGAGGGATAGAGGTCCGGTCACCAGAGGTGAGCGCGGTGAGAAAAAGGCGGAGACGGGGCTGGGAGAGCTTGTGGCGCTCAGCAGCACCATTGGGCTGGCGGTGTCCTAGAAACGACCCCACACACACGCCCAGCCCTGGCGTGGCCCGGCCCCAGGTCTGCGCGCC